GCTGCTTGCGTTCTTCGAGCACGTGAGTGCAGCGAGCGCTGCCAGGGGCGTGGAGGCAAATCTGAGTGTGATGGGCATACGTTGTCGAGCATTGCCTGTCTTGTGCTCAAGTGTTCCAGTTCAGACTGGCCGCTTTTGCGAGGCACCAGCGATCGCGGAGGTCTTCGTTCAGACGAAACCATCCGGGGGTCTGTTCATGGTTTTCCGCTTCCCGCTGAGCTTCAACCCCCAAGCGCCCAAGCTGAGTTCATCTGCACATTCTCAAGGACTCAGGGGACTTGCAACAGAACGGTCAACTGCGCTGTGCAAGAAACTCCGGTAATCTCCGGTATCACAAGTGACTGGAACCATTGTTCGACAGGTCATCAGATATGATCTTTGATCTTTGTGGTTTTGATGCATGCTTTTGTTGCTTTTATTAGGCAAGGGGGTGGCGAAACACGAAAGAAGTCTGAGCTTTGCCGAGCGTTTGAGGTGTTGTACTGGCGTCGCTTCGGCGTCGATGTGCCGGCAGGCATCGGCCGCTGTGAGAGCTCTGGCTGTCCGGTCCTCGTGGATTTCCCCGGCTCAGGCAAGTTTCCCCAAATTTCCCAGTTGGGGGATCTCCGGCGATAGGAAACGGGTGTATATATATATATATAAGACGTGATCAAGTGGGCAGCTGCCAGGAGGCTCCATCTTCTCACAACGTGGATGGACTCAGTGGTATGACTACCAGGATCAAGTCCCAGAGCCTTTCGAGCCATTCCTCCTCGTCACCATGGAGGGCTCCCCGGATGCCGTGGTTCCGGGGCAGGAGATCTTGCCCTGTACCCCTGCCGAGAACCCCCAAAAGTGCGCGGATGTCTCCGATGCCGGGGACGGCTTTACCTCATGGAACGTCTTAGGCTGGGGCGTGCCCACAGAGACCCAGACGCCTGCAAACAGCTCCTTGCTCTCGGCATGCTTCCCGGTGGCGCTGAAACCGTGGAACTCCTACCAATGCTTTGGGACACACCTGCTCCACAATGTGAACGCCTGCCACAAGGCGGTTGGCCCGTAGGACGCAAGATGATATTGCACAGAAGCTGCCTAGGTACTCTTATGGGCTAAACTAACATGGGAGCAGCATAGCTGAACTAAAATACGGGCTAGATGACGGTGACAGTGCTTTCTGAATCTGAAGCCCCAGGTGTCTGCAGCACATCAGCGGGAATGGTCTGCTTTCGCCCAGACCCTTCTGAGTGTTATGGCATCATTTTTAAATTTGCGGGGGGGGGGGGGGGCTAAGAAAAAGAACCCTGAGCATTCAAGAGAACCGTACCGTTCTTCTGCTTTTCATTTGTTAGGCCTTGGCTGCTGAGCTCAGGGGTTGGGTGGAATTTTTCATTCTGACCTTTTGCTCTCATTCACCAGGTAATGGAATTGAAAGGGTTTCTGCGGATGTAGATTGATGCAGATTCTTCAGGCTTCTCCTGGTTGCTGCTCCTATTCGAGAGGCTTGGGTTCCCACGATGTTTCCTATTCTTCCGACTTTTTTTGCTACTCCCTCCCTCCTTCCTCCCCCTCCCCCTCTCCTTCCTCCCACCACTCTCGTCTTCCCCCCCCCCCCCTTCCCCCCCTTCACGGGCAAGGGTGAAATTGCGCTGGGAGGTCCTGGACTTGGGAAGGTGCTGCAACCCCATGCTCCTGGCGCTAGCATGGATAGCTTCTTCCGGGCTTGGGAGCAACAGCGTTAGAGGTGGAAAGGGTGCAAGTCGCGTTGGGCAGCATGTGGCACGAGGCAGTAACCCCTTGAGCTTGAATGTCCTGGCTGGGAGAGAAAACAAAGATCTGTGGAGATTATGCTGGCTGAAGGATTGGGAAGCCGCCTTGCCATGGGGAATGTACAAGTAAATGATTGAGCTCATCTGTTGAAGTTTGAGCGCATCATGGACTGAGTTCAGGCGGTTCAATCCACAGGGTCATGTGCCGTCAACCATCTCTGGCAAACTTTCCTTCCTGGATTTGTGTGTCTGTGCAGTGGGCCCTCCTTTGTTGTGATTCCACACGCAGTGTGAGTAAGAACAAGTGAATGAGCTGCATGGTGGTGTGCGGCCCAAGCTGGGTCACGGAGTGAGGTCCAAGGATTCTTTGCCATGGCGCTCTGTGCCGGCTGAAGGGGAGGTCAAATTAGCCTTCCTCGTCCATTCAGTTGATGCCTTCAGTACTTCCTGTCGAGACCGAGCTCGCCAACATTGATACTCTGCAAAAGATTGCTGAATGGTGCGGGCTCCCCGCCAATGTCTGGAAAGCTTTTCAGGATGCATTGGGAGGTTTGGGCTCCATGCGTGTTTTCTCGCAGCTGCCACAGTCTGTTTGGTCCAAGACAGTGAAAGACTTGCGGATCAGCAGTGTTGCTGGCGGAGCGGCCCGCGAAACCACACCCTCCGAGCAGATCCAGTTGGCGTTGGCTTGGAGAGTAGCCAGGCAAGCCTTTCAAATGCCGGACATAGATCCGATAGCAGATCCTGTGCCTGTCGTGACCCCTTTGCCTTCGCATGGCCACGCAGCCTCGAGTTCATCTGTGAAGAAGGTGAAGTTCTCGAACGTGCTGGATCAGTTGGACGAGACAGAGGTGGACATGCTGTCTCAAAGAGAGATCGATCAAGCGTATCTGAATCATGCAGAAATCACAGGAGCAGAGCCTCCAAGCGAGGCAGAGCCCACGCCGGAGCAGATCGCTGCACTGAAGCAAAGAGTGGTCGACAGACGGGAGGCCCCGTATGCCGACTTCAGTGTCTTGACACCTTTCGGCCGAAGGGTGCAGAAGCAGATGAAGGCCCGTTCGTGGGTCTTACAAGCAGACGGGACATTCAAAGGTCTCGACGTACCTGGCCCTCCGAGTTTCGAAGCATGGGCAGCCTGCTGGAAAGTATTTCGTTCGGCTTTGTTCATGCTCAGATATCCTCCAGAGGCGCCAGGCCAAAGCCCGAAGAAGGTGGTGACAACAGCCGCCCTCGAGGAGTACTACGACCGTGTCGTGAAGCTCAACTCCGAATTTCCAGAGACCTGGCATTTGCTCATGCAAGCAGAGGACAGGTGCCGTGGCGAGATGTTCGAGAGGTACCGGAGGCAACTGACGACAGCATCAGCCTCAGGTCGTTTGCCTATGGGCCTCGATTTCGACGGAGCCACTCCATGGGTCGGAGTCTTCATCTACGCTGCTCGGGATGCAGACTTCTGGAACGAGCATGTCGTCCGCCCAGCGCAAAATTTCATCGCCAGAGGCGGGAAGCACATGTCAGTCCAGAAGGCCGAGGATGTCAATGTGCCCAGCGGGTCCAGAGAGGCCCTCCTCAATGCCATGTCAGGAAAGCACCATGTCGCTCCCCCTCCGGCTCTGCCAGGCGAAGGATCGTCGAGAGGAGCGAAAAGACGAAGGTTTCTGAAAGAGAAGATGGTCCAGATGGAGAGCGCGCTGAAGGCTCAGGTGGGGGGGCAGAAGACAGCGGCTGGTCATCCAAAGAAATGGGGCTCGCTGTACGTGACAAACTCAGAGGGCAAGGAGCTCTGCTTTGCCTTCTCGAAGGGAGCTGCGGGGGCGTGCCCAGAGCCATGCAAGCATGGCCGCGTCCATGGATGCCAGATATGCTTGGGCAGCCACCCAAATGGTCAGTGCACGTCCCCCCTCGCGCAGCAGCTGAAGGACAAGGGAGGCAAAGCGGCGGGAAAGGGCAAGTGACAGGACTCGGGCAGTCCAGCGCTGATGCCCGTTACTGGCGCTGCCCCTGCTGCTGTCCGTCCATCTGGCGCTGCAAAACCGCAAGAGAAATCAACCGAGCATGCGCCAAGAAAGTTTGTTTTCTTAGAATTGTTTGCAGGTCATGGTGGCTTTTCAAGAGCAGTGACGGAGATCGCAGGCGACGTGGCAGAAGTCATGGGCCCCTTGGGCGGCTCCTACAACTGGGATATCTTCGTGGACGCCGACTTCGAACAGGCCAAGCAATCGGTCAAGAGAGCGGACCACACACATCTGGCATTTACGTGCAGTTCCTTCGCCAGAGAGCGGTGGACAGACGAGAACGAGGTCGCCCAAGTCATCACTTCCGACAAGATTGCGGAAAAAGTCGCGGCCCTATGCTACCTCATCCTAGAGGCAGGCGGCACATTCTCATTGGAGAATCCGTGGGACTTCTATGCCTGGGAGCATCCGGCTTTGAAGAGGGTGCTCAAAAGACCAGGCGTGCAGTCCGTGCTCCTTCACCAGTGTGCTTATGGCGCCGACAACGTGAACCCAACTGCCATCGTCTCCAATGCGCCGTGGATCCTGACTGTCAAGCTCACCTGCAAAGATGTGCGACCCCACTGCCACACAGAGGGCGACGTGGCAGGCAAAGTCGACGCCTTAGTCTGGCGAACTTCGCTGGCAAAGTATCCGGTGGGCCTGTGTCAATGCTGGGCAAAGGCGCTTCGGGCATGGTTGCTCTCAGAAGAGGGCCGGCGTGTCATGGCCTCACGAACACTGGTCAGGGCAGGCAGGCTAGGCAACACACTTGTCCGCCTCGATCGCTACAAGTGCACAGAGCTGGAGCCAGCCCCAAACTCAGAC